TACAACATATATTATTGTTTAAATTGTTAATGTAGATGATGAAGGAATATTGCACCTTAGAACATTAACAAGGTGTCAAAATTTTGTGAGTAAAATATTATAAGAGAAACACTCTCATAACCAGAATTTTTGCCAATTCAATACTGCCTAGATCCAGCAGATGCAAGATAATAAAGCTTTTACTGTAAAAACTTTCCCTCACATATTACATATATTTCAATAGTTACTATAGATAATACTATACCTAGAAGTTTAGGAAGGTTGTTTAGTTATATTTGAATTTAAAAGTGCCAGGAACAATACATATTGAACAGAATAAAATTGCTTACACTGTTCCACAAGAAGCCATGCACATATATACATATATACATATATACATCACACATGGCACACATCTTACAACAAAATATGATAAACAATAATGTAAAAGTGGCAAAATGTATGAACTGCAGCTTTTAAAAAATAATGTTTATAACCAATGTCAACCTCAAATTTTCACATGAGAGTAGACCAAAAACACATAAATAATGCACAATATCATTGTTTTTTACCTATTTTGACCGTTTTCTTAATGTAATTATCATTTACTATACTCTAATTGGCCCTATAGTTTTGCTGCTTTTTCTTTTAAATGAACCCCTACACATCATTTGCTCATGGGCCATTTGGTGGAGAAATAGGAGGAGTTTTATTCACTGTAATTTATTTGTGAGGTATAAAGACTGGTGCACTGAGCATTAAATTGTTTTTGCAATGCTTAGGGGGCAGAAAGAAGATTGAGATAGCTTTGTGTGAACAGAAGTAAGACCACATCAGAATATAAACATTCATCATCTGTTGTGAATGTGGAAAGTTAAGGGTCGTGCACATTGCCAAAAAGATAACCCAGAAACAGTCCATACTTATCAGACAGATCCACAAATAGTTGTTGTACTAATGGCTCTACCATATTCACTGATGATGACGCCTTAGTTATGCAGCTGGGCATTAACTGTGACTCACCCTTAGAAACCACTTATTATGCCAGTAGATATAACTTTGTCTTACTAGGGTATGATATTTTTTCAGCATATTTTCTTCAAAATAATACATGGTTTATATTTTCCATTGTTTGTAATATAATTGCAGTAATCCACAAATTAATTTTGAATGTTTTATTTACTATATTTACATGTGTTACAGAGACATTTGATGATGTATGTTATCATTGTGGTGACAACCAAGTGATACTATATGAAGACAACCTGCAGCTTAAAGAGAAGTGGGGCATTGTCTGTTTGGAAAGAAATTTAGCACCAAATTAGTCTTCAAAGTGGCATTAATGAAGAGCTGCAAAGGCAAATTCAGCAAGAAAAAAATTAATGGAGAGATGTACTGCAATGGTTGCTGGATTGTACACAATATTTAGCTTCTCAGAATATTGCATTTTGTGGTCATACTCAGGACATAACCTCAAACGAAAACCCTGGAAATTTCCTATCACTTTTGCAGTTATTAGCAAAGCATGATCCAGTAATGAAAGAGCATTTAGAGCGTGTTAAAAACAACAAATGTCAACATTTTATCTTTCTTCTAAAATCCAAAATGAGTTTATAAATTTCATGGCTTCACATGTGTGAAATTATTGTTTGTCAGCAATTCGTAGAAACAAATACTATGGTATTCTGTTTGATTCCACACCTAATTTAGCTCATCGCGAACAATTGGCCCAAGTGATTTGGTTTGTTAACATGGTCTTTAAGACAAGAAAACTAGAAGTCAAAGTGTCATTTATTGACTTTATACAGATAAAGGAATAAGACGCTGCCAATATAAAGAAAACTAAGCACAAAATTAGAAGCACATGGAATTTTATTGAGTGATTGTTGTTAACAATGTTA